AGCAATTTAAGTCCTAGTCAGTGATATACAGGTGCATCCACATCATCCGATTTCTCCTAGTCAGGAGTTAGGAGTCCATCAGAGTAATTGTGTGTACAAATTAAACTAATAATGAAACTCGAAGCTACTTAGCTACGCTATGTATGCGCAGAGTGACTGGTACACTCACTCAAGAGACCCACATCAATCTTTTTTGAAAAGGAAATTTTAATTGCGGTCTCAACGCTTATCGATGTAGCCTTCGAATGTGCTGTCTGTGGTAGTTCCGATCACTTTAAATTCATCAGCACGAATGCTCATTTACACTCTCAAGTCATCCATACGCTCATCGCAGAAATCCATACCATCAGTTCAGTCTTAACACCTAGATTTATTGCCAATTACTTCATACATTTGTCAAATTTATTCCTTTATTTCAGACTTATCAAACCAAATCTTCTGTTAGCCTCTTCTACCATCATATATACCTCAACACAATCACCTATCCACCTAAAAAGCACTCACTGAACAGCCTAAAAATCTATATACTTCTCCATACTATCACGAATTTTTGAAGTCTTTTCTTACAATTTACCTTCCAGTAGTTACTTTACGTTGAAGCTTTTGGTGCAAAAGTATCAGAAATACAGCCGTTAGTGAAGAATGTGTGTCTGTGAGCCTGACTATCAACATTGGTAAACAATCCGTTTCTGTTGTTCCTATTCATTTGCATCTCAAATGACTATCCAAGTTAATGTTTAAAATAAAGAGCGGAAAGCCTAAGCTGGGTGCCGAACCAAATTGGAGAACCTGCCAAAGATCTCAAAGGCAAGGTATGTGCCTGTAAGTAGTTATTTTAAAAACTAGCTCCTAAGAGTCGTATCTTAATGCGTATCATTTTACAGGACAGGAGATGGAGCTTTTTAGAAGAGGCAATTACCTAAATCGACGTTTGCTGATTGGTAACTAAGAAACCTAGAGCTCATTAACCTGTCACCTATAGGTAGACAACCCCATAGAGCTGCGACGATCCTCAACGTATTGTGTTTGCAAGCTATACAACTTCGAATTATCTAAGCCACACAGTAATTTTCACTTAAGCTAGCGGATTTCGAGTGTTACTTTCTGCTTCCTTGTCAGTAATAACAAGACTAGGGCCAGGTGTAACTCCGAATCGTCATCAAAAGTGATAATTTCCTTGCAAATACTTAAGCGGATACCTTCCGAATGATAATTCTACAGTGTGGAGCAAATTGTTAAGGTAACTGATTTGATTTATTCTACCTCATTGCTGTTTTAAAGGGCCTGGCCACAGTGGTGACCTGGAAGAATCGTAGTGCTATCGTTAAATGCCTATTCACGCAATGAACAAGAACCATTTCAGTCCTGATGCTCACAGTGCTCCGTTCTTCTTGTAGCTGCTGTTTCACTTGCTTTACACGCAGTTGCCATGGACAGAAGTCTAAGTCTACACTTTTTGATAGATAAAGTGAAAAAAATGCAATGAGATTTGACAAAACAGATAGCTACGGCGCCTGGCTTTTATGTAGCAGATTCTGCTATTTTGAGATGAATTACTTATGTTTCTAAGTGTCCGCTTATGCTTACCATGAATCTATTTCATCAAAATCCAGGATTTTTTAAATTCCACCAATCCGACATCATTTGACGTCAAGAGGGGTAGGTCGACGTTCCTAAAGCTGTAGTATCTTCAAAACTTTGACGTGGTAAAAACGCGGTATAAAATTACACCTTTAAAGTTCTATCTTTTACCGCTCTAAGCAGAGCCTTTATGACCTTTTAATTTCTGCTTCTAACAACAATTGCTGAAGGATATAGGAGCTCTTAAATGAACATGAAGAATGCGAAATTCCCAAGCACTAAATAAAGTTCACTTTATGAAATCCTTCCGTATGCGTCAAAAGCTGCTGGATTCGTAGAAAAGGAAAAATACTGTCCCATTCAATTAAATCCATTTAAACACGTTGACAGAAAAAGAAAATAGCGCTTGTTTACAGGGTTTATTTGTGGATAAATAAGACTATGTTAGGTGCCTTTACAATTGCGTCTACTGCCAATATTCTTGAATCTCATGTTGTAACCAACTAATTTCAACAAATTTATGACGCTGATATCCTCGGTTTGAGGGGCTTAACAAAACTCAATTGCCAACCCAACGTCATCGTGGAGAGTAAAGTGCTCTGGAAGTTATCATAAATATTGATAAAGTCA